AAAAAAGAAACAAACAAAAAGCCAGACTCTTAAATACAGAGAACAAACTGATGGTTGCCAAAGGGGAGGTGGGTAAGGGGAGAGGGGAAATAGATAAATGGAATTAAGAGTACACTCCTACTGATGAGCACTGAAAAATGTATAGAATTGTTGAATCGTTATAGTGTACACTTGAAACAAATATAATACTAGATGTTAATTATACTTGAGTAAAAAATTTAAATAAATAAGGTTTCTACCTGTTAAGGTTATGGATCTCAAGATAAGGTCATTGATCTAAAGTTGTTTTTTTTTCCCTCTAGAATGGAGTTAAAATATTTTCTCTATAGTTAGAAAACATTTGTTACAATCATTGGCTTTGTTTTGGAACACTATCTCTTGAAAACAGTCCTCATCTGCAGGGATGAGAAAGAGAAGGCCACGTGCACTTTGGTTTCTATAACATGGCAATATACATTCTTAAAACCAGAAATGACATGTGCAAGTAGACTAAAGAATCAGAAAAAAAATGTGCTTCCATCTACCCTGCTTAAATCTTCCTGAAAATAGAGATCAGAAAGAAAAATGAAAACAATTAATTCTTTTTGAAAAATGAGTCTTTAACTTATGGATTGGTTCATTTTCAAAAGGAGTTAGATTCTGGGCCCACATATCGCCCATTCAAGACATAATGTGTGCTCTCACCTCCCACTAAATATGTTGCTATGACTTTTAAATGGAGGGAACATTTAACAAGAAGCAACCTAGGGAAGGGAAGCTCTAACTCAGACATCAATAATTCATTTATCAGAAATAGGAGTAGTGGTATGAAATGCCAGGAGACTCTTTCATTTGTAGGGAGGCATTTTCTATTTTAAGCCTAGAACAATGCAGTCACCTTTATTCGACAAGCTAATCCGAATGGAGACAAAGCCGAATGGAAGGACAGCTTTTATGGTCTCCTCCACTGAGGCTATTTCTTTATGCACCTGTTATGTGGGGGACATGAAAAAGTGACAAAAAAATTTTGGGGGCACCTGGGTGGCTCAGTCGTTAAGCGTCTGCCTTCAGCTCAGGTCATGATCTCAGGGTCCTAGGATCGAACCCCGCATCGGGCTCCCTGCTCAGCGGGAAGCCTGCTTCTCCCTCTCCCACTCCCCCCTGCTTGTGTTCCCTCTCTCACTGTGTCTCTCTCAGATAAATAAATAAAATATTTAAAAAAGGAATTTTTATAACTTTTGTACTTCTGCAGTGATTTTTGTCACCCCAAAGTTTTAGCACTAGAAATGTAATGTCAGTCTAAGAGAGATGATTGGCATGGAGTTTTGAGGGTGCTTTCTCTCGTAGTACTAAAACCCATCAGGCATTAAAGTTTCTCAAGTCATCTACCAATTAAATCCATTAGTTTGGAGCCCAAGTTATTTCATCCCGTACCCCCACCCCAAACACTTAGGGCAGAGCCATTCACAAACTAGGGTCTCGGTGAGTACCTGTGGAATGAATGAACAGATGTAGCTAAGCAGGAAATAATTCCAGACACACTCTCAAGCCTACTGGTCAGATCATACAAAGAGGAGGTATTCGCAGAGCAGACACCTGAGCTGCTTCATTCTGATGAGGATTAGAAATTTCTCCCCTTCACTCTCTTGCGTCAAATTCAAAGACTCGCGGCTCTGCTCAAGGAGATGGGGAAACAGAACTGCAGAAAAGCAGATTTACCGACTCATTTACTGAATGAGTCACAGCTCTCATCACCTAAAGCAGCAGAAAAACCTACCGAAACCTCTAACCTTGGAAATAAACAAAGACCTCTAAATCTTACATTACATTTGAAAAGTTCATAGGCACATATATTTTGAGATGACTGCGGTAATTATAATTATAAATTATCTAGCACCTAATATGTAGTCCGTCGTATGTTTGGTGTTTTAGGTATTTTACTGCTAACCTTGGGAAGTATTATTGTAGTAATTTTAGAGATTAAGACAACAAAGCTTTAGTCAAAGCTCAGAGTACTCAGGCCCGAAGATTATAAAGCTAATTAAGGAGAACCAAAACTAACCATCAACTCTTCTGAACTACAAACCCACTGCTAATTTCCTGATGCCACGTGACTTCTATTCAAACAGAATTATCTTGCTTAAAGACAGATCCATCAATCACATCTATAATTATGGTCTAATGAGCAGAGAAGCTATCTTAACCCCAAATGCCTGAGTACATGGCTTGTCTGGCCAAGAAAACATCAGGTGGCACTCCTGAGAGGAGGTAAAGGGTCATCTGTTGCCCCAGGTCATGCTCATAAAACAGAGGTAGGGAATGCTGGTGTTGTACCTCTGGAAATGCCATATTTCACTGTCAAGACTACAAACGCAAGCACGGATCTAGAACAATGCCTGTGTGCTCCAATAACCAAACCCACACTGCACTCAGTGAACCATGGACGGTACTTAGAAGGGGTTAAAACAGGACACACCAGAATATGCCACAGTGAGCAGGACTATGGCGATGCTTCTCAAGAACAGGTCTCGGGGAGAGCCAGGTTTGAAAGGAATACTTGCAAAGGATACTTTTTTTTTTTTTTTAAGGCAGGCTGTAAAAAGCCATCAAAGCCAACACTCAAAGAGCTTAAGAGCTTAAGCACAGCCTCTGTGGTTAGCGATGTTAGTCACACGTCTGACACGCCCTGGAAAACAGTCACCGTCACCACTGAGAGTTTCAGTGCAAAAACTCACCATATGTGAATTCAGACAGCACTGCCTACAGGTTATGATACGTTTCTGGTTTCTACCTATAGCCCCTCTTGCCCCTCAATATCCTGCCCCCAAATACTTCGGGTGTTACCATGATCTAGTCTTTCCTGTAGCTTTCCTGTCCCTCTTTGCTCTCTACAGATGTTGATGGAATAAATCAAACTGATGCATATAGTATCGTACAGTTCTCCTATACGCTTGCCTCGAAAACACAAATTTCTTCCTATACCATTGATGTATTGGAGATCGCTGTAAGCATAATGTGAAATTTACATGTGTTGATGCACAGTTTTGTCCTAGAAACTCTAAGTGAATGTAGAAAACGCATCGCCATGGGAATACACAAAACCCACACAGCTACACACCCAAAAAGCACCACAGTCCACACCTGTCCACGTCTGCCGCTGCTACTCCCTGATTTCGGGTACCTCACCTTCCACCTTTAGTAACTGGCAAGTTGCCATGATTCCAAAGGCCATCCTGGGCAGTGGGTGGGAGGCTAGGGGGGTGTCCTCCACTCTGCTTAATTTTCCCCTATTCTTTGTTCTTTTTTGAAATTTTCATCTCTTTCCCCCCCCCCTTTTTTTCTCTTGCACACAGAGCGGCATGCATTCATACGTAGGAGCAGATGTAATGCGCACACACTTCCACAAGCAAACTTCGGGTGTTTCTCAAGATAAAGTGGCGCATTTATTATAATTTCACATATTTTGTAACCACTTAACATGGATACAACTGGGCTATTTTTTTTAAATAGGTCCCTACCATTTTGTGTGTGTGCATCACTGATGAAGTTTTTGAGTGCTGAGCTCAAATTTCACTGTCTTATTACTTGGCGGTTTTAGATTTTGCAGAGTGCAAGTGTTTTTAGGAAGGCTATGTGGCACTATAGCAGAATGAACTGTATATCGAAATTTATCAGTGGTGACTTTCTGGTATTGAAGCTTCAAGATTCTTCATCAGTGTTTCAGGCATTAGCTTGCATTGTCTCAAATTATGACCCTTGGTGTGAAATTTACTATAACTTTAAGCAGTGTAATCTGGACAGCAATGGCCAGGACTGAAAGAAAATTAACCAGTTTAATTTAGGTCCCTTTCTTTTTTTGTTTAGAAGGCTCTGAAAAATTCTATCAAAATCAATTTATGCATTAATGCTTTCACCATTGAATCTGATCTGTAACATTTACCGAATTATTAGCAAACAGCATGCTTTCCACAGTAACTTTTTTGAGGCTTCTTTGTAGATGGTGAAGAGAGGAAAAAAAAAAAAAAGAAAGAAGGAAAAAACCCATGTGCAGTCACAATTATCTAGGTCAGATGGTTTTATCTAAACTTATTGACTTAATCAAATCATACTTGCTAAGAAATTTTTTCCTAAAGAAAAACACAGGCTGGAAATAGCACGTAATAAATGGGCAAAACACCTCTTTTTGCTACTTCTGAGATTCCAGACTAAAACATGTAAGTAAAAAATCGAAATGGTAGCATTTAAATCACAGCATTACACTGGAGGAGTTTTGGAGTAAAAGGAAAAAAGCTAATGTGATCTAGAGATTAGAAATATCTACTAATCCTTTAAAGAATCTGGGTCATCCTAAGCAAGAAAAAGCATTCCCATTTATTTTCTGAAGAATGTTAAGATATTCCGTGGTATCAAATGGATGTGCATTTTCATCTGCTCTCACAAGAACTACTGTACTAACTGGAGAGTGGAAGAGTGGCTTAAATGAGATTCTATGGCTCTTGAATGTGAAGATAAGAAAGGTAATAGGTTCTGTACATGGCAAACCTTACAGGTATTTCACGTGTATTAGTAGAAAATACAATCACTGCAGAACAGAAGAACAAAGGAGCTAATAAGAAAGCCCCTGGCAGAGACTTCAAGCACAGGAGTCAATGACATTTGTTGAATTTAACAGAATAAAGTAACTCTTTTGGCGTACACATTGTTTTGCCTTTCCCTTTAGCACCCCATCCCCAAAAATGGGTCACCAGCCAATTACCTCATGAGGGGCAATATTCCCCAGCTGTGCCCTCAAGATATGGAAATGCTGAGTCATTCCCCAGGGTTCTCTCTGCGACCATTCTTACCATGGAGACCACCCTTTTTATTACCCAGAAGCTTCAGTGAAAAGACACCTGTTCCCCCTGGAGCAAATTTATGGATCATTTGTTACCAAGGCTTTCTAAGAAAATACTTCCCTCAGCAAGAGGAGAAAACAAAAATCCTTGGCAGCCACAGGCCAGCCCCCCCCAGCTGGGCCTTACTTGTTCTCGTTGCTTGCATCGTAACGAGGCATTGGGTCCAGGTCATTCCCATTCACGTCACAACTCGCCAGAGCATCCTACGGCCACAGAGGAGTGAGCAAGAGGAGACAGACGTTTAGTCATTAGCCATTAACATGGAGCCACATGCATTCTTAAACACATTTCCGCAAGAGAGTAATTAGATTAAATAATACATTCATGGTTCGGTGGCGTCAGGATGCCTTGCTCAGTAATAATCACTGTTGTATTTTTCTCCTTAAGGTGAAAAAATACTCTCCACAGACCAAGGAAGAACCCAGACCATTCTTGCCAACATATTTTCCCTCATTTCTGGAACTGACCTCTCATTCAATGCCTCTGAAGAGGTCCCCAGTGACCACCTTTTCGGTGAAGTATTCTTGGACTCTCTAGAAGCAAAGTGATTTATTTTCCAGGGATTCTCTCTCTCTTCCTTACTTCATTTCTGGAGTGTGTAAATTCCTTATAATTCAGAGATTTTTGAGGATAATTCACAGATAACTGGCAAGCCGATTAAAAATCAGTATTAGAAATTATATTAGGTATCATGGTATCTCTATCAGGCAAGAGCTGTCTGGTTTCAGATGTTGTATCTACTATAAAAGAGTCTGTAATTCAGACTTTTTACTAATACCCAATGATCCTCTGTCCCAACCAAAATAATGAACAAAGTTTTATTCTAGGTCAAGGCTTCAAAATGAGGCAAAAGCATCTCTGAAGCCAAAGCTGGATCTGTCTGTCTGCTTTTTGTGAAACACCTCCAAATTTCTACATTTCTTTCTTTTGATGTTCTAAATTTCCAAAAAGAAATTACTGGCTTATATCTTCACTCCAGTTTATGTCACAGTAGGTAGAACTAATTTAGACTGTTTTGTGTTTCGGTTTTAGTGAAAGCCAACGTGTTTTCTAGCTTTATCAAAGACTCTTGTTTCTGAAAATAATGTGTAGTACATAGAGTCTGATGTCTGGAGAAATTCTGCAAAATACACGGGACATATAAAGGTGGTAGATAAGTCCCTGCTTCTCATATAAAGGCCCCCCATAGCCCCCCATACTGGTCACTAGAGCGTGAATGGTGTGTATCTAGTATAACTGATGAATTTTACTTATAAGGAAACAGAAGCCCAAGACAGGATAAGAAACTTGGTCAAAGGCATGAAGCAAACCAGCCTGTGGAACCAAGACTGGAACCCGGGCCACGTGCCCCGTGCCCCCATCCAACGTGCTCTTCCCTACACTTCACCAGCTCCAACATCATGACACCTGAGAAGCATCGGTACTGCTCATCACACAGATATGTTCTAGAGAATTCTTCTTCAAGGGGGAAAAAATGAAAGAGGCAAAGAATGCAATCATGATTAGGTTAAAGCCGTCTGTGTTTCATCAAATATATTCCTAGCTGGTGGGGGGCAGGAACACCCCATAAATACCACACTGTGTATGACCAGAAAGACTTCTCTGCTAGGAGGCAGGTCCCCACACTTCTGTTCTTTATACGACCTGGGCTCACTCACTATAGCCTTCAGGCTCCAGCTTCTCCCCTCTTGAAGGAGGAGACCAACAGAAGATTCTTTTTAGCTCTCAAATTCTATGCTGTGAATGCCTGAGTGTGCTTGGAGGCAGGGTGAGAGCGGCCGCTCAAACGTTTTGTTCAAATGAGAACGAAATGAATGTGCAGTTCTTTCTCTCTCTCTCTCTTTTTAACCTTCGGGAAAAGTCATCTAATTTGGTGGAAACTGTTTCAATATGTCATTGTAAAAAATTAATTTGTGAAGTTTCTTGGCTGAATGTTTGACACAAAACGGGTGACGGGGGGAAGACTGTAAGGAAAGATTCAAGTGTGAGGTGACACTGGGGGTTTGTGTGGGTCAGAAATATGGGTCACTGTGAGCCAGTGGGAGTTTCTGGGGCACCAAGGAAGGGGCTTGGAGGTGTTTTATTTGCAAAGATAAAATGGAGTCTCTTCAGGAAAACTGAGATTCAGTATGATGAATTAAGCGAGACTGAGCAAATAAGAAAGGAACATTGGAGAGAATATGGTGATCACGCTCTAAAAATGGTTTCATGAGAAGCTGGAGCAGTAGGGAAGGGGGGGCGCAGAGGAGACATGGAGGGGATATCCGTGGTGCCCAGAAACCAAGCCTTCCCATGATGAGGGAGACGAAGATAGATGGAGAGAGAGAGAGAGAGATTAGATTTCAAGAAGGCATCATATCCCTGGTCTCTGAAACTTGGCCTTAAGGAAAAGGTCAGGTCCACTCTGAGTGAGCCCAGAACAATGTCCCCCAGGGCCACTCTGCGTCCACTGAGGCAGCAAGCATGCTGGGATGGCAAGTCCTTTGTGCTGATGGGCAGAGGGACCCGCAGGGCAGGGCCTGCCGCATCATTCTCTGGAAGCTCAGGGCACAGGTGGTGGGCTGGGCTTGCTGAAGTGCCCCCTTTAACGACCATGAACTGGAATATAGAAGACAAAAATCTGCGGAGACGGGGTCCTCCCAGTTATACAGCTCAGGATTCTCTGTGGGTCGCCTCTGTAAACACGGGGCAAAGCTTCCCACCCCGGCCCATGACTTTCCTCCTTTGGGGTCAGTAAGAGTCCTGCAAGGGAAGTAAAGCAGACTTCACCATGACTTAGAGCTGTTTGTATTTTCAGGGGTAGGAGAGGAAACTGTAAGCGGCTAGAGAATCACTGATTTTAAGAGAAAGTTTTTCAATACCAACATGAAATATAATTTAGGGACCCTCGACACAGCCAAAATTTTGGAATTAAAAGGAATCGGGAAGGAAGAGAGGAGGGTGAGGGGGAAAAGCGACTGTCGTTTAAGCGGCCTGTGGTGGTATCAGTGTTCCTGGGTGGAAACAGTCATCACCAGAAAAGAGGTCTGAGGGGAAGTCAGAACACATGGGTCTGAGTGGGATCCACGGGATTTTCTGCTGGGCCCTCAAGGGAATCAGAGTTGTATTTACAGATAATAGGGGATCGTTGCAGGCTCTTTATAAGAGAAGAAGTATTTTAGAGAGAACACTAAGGTGTCAGGAAACACACATTTGGAGCCGACAGAGAATGGCATATTGAGAGATAATATGGCCCTCTCAAGTGACCTGAGAAAGGAGAAGCCAATGGAAGGAATGAGCTTGGAGGGTACAGTTTAGAGAGATCACTGGCACATTTCTAGGCAGTAGATATCACAGTGGTAGGTGGAACCCAGAGGCCCAAGGGGCAGAAACTGACCCTGATGTTCCGTGGACTCTGTGGTCTTGGGCTCATCCTACATCCGACATCCTCCTGGAGTCCTGGAATCACAGTTCCTTCTTAAGAGAGGGACATGACTGCTTCCTAGGACTCGTAGGAGGCTGATCACTATTGTCCTTTGAAAAAGGGAGTTAAAAAAAAGAGAAAGAGACCAGTAGAAAAACTTGAGAAAAGTTCTAAGTACGCTTTTCTCCACAAAAGAAACAGAGTGTGTGGCGTGGCTTTGTGGATGAGTCGTTGAGAAGAGTGGTCATTATCAGGAGCAGATGGTGGTGGGGGTGGGGTTTCTGCTGCCTTATCACTTACTTTTTGTCATCAGAACATCAAAGGCACTTGAAAGTTGAAGGCAGTAGCTCACCTCCCTGTACTCAAGAGGGTGCAACTTTTTGTAAAACGGAAGCGAATACGCGGAGCCTACTGTATTTGCTAGCTGCCCTTTTTAGTAGTATCCCCACTTCTTGACAATCCTCACACACGTCCCCTTATTTCCCAGGAGGGAGGGGGTTCCGACCACAGCACACACTCACGTAGTTCTGCATCAGATCCGGGTGGGTTCTCTCAATGCCATCATCCAGGATGGTCACCACGATGTTTTTTCCCGTGTAGCCTCTCTTCCAGGCTCCTTCGATGTTCATGTCTGATTGGCAGGGATGCGTGTTGTCACTGCAGTGCTAAGGAAGGAGGAGGGAGAATTAGATGGTGCAGATGACTAATAATCAGAAGATGGGAAAATCACCTCCTTGTGTGGATAATGATTACGTTAACGGACATGTGGTGGTGGCCTGCAGAGCAGAAGCCCGGGTCTCTAGCACAATAACAAGAGAAGGCAGGAAGGGTAGATGTGCGGAAGGCGAGCGAACAGAAATCTTCTGCCTGCTCTGCCCTGTGGTAACGCCACAGATCCTTTGAAAAAAATAGAGTCAAATAAATTCCATCCCAGCAGCACAATAAGGGATGTATCATTTTATTGTTAGCACGTACTGATGACACAGAAGAAAGCATTGTAACATTTCATTTATAAACCCAAACTAGGCAGCTGAAGAACACACACTGGATAATCTCTTAACCAGGCCCCTGGAAGCCAAGCTAGCCAAAACCGAGAACTCAGGCAGCTTTCGGACAGTGTCAGCCAGAGGGGTGCTCCCGTCAGAAACCCACGAAGGAGGAAAAAGTAACAGTTTCATCAAATTTCTTTTGCTGAATTCACCACGGCTATCGTACCATGATAGGTAGGGGGCAGGCATACTCAGCCAGTGGTACTTGGAGAAGGGAACGGAGAAGCGACAGGAAATGTGTGTGAAGGATTCAGAGGGCAGGCTGGAGAAACATCAGATCTTAGCTTGTTAGGCTCATAGTCATTTCATTCCACAATGGCTACAACATAGAAACATAGCAAGAAATGCATGAAACCATCAGCTCTTCCTGACATACTAGCATCCACCCAACCCACACAATGGCCCCCTCCAAGTCCATCTCTTTGAAACATCCCTCTGAGCAGTGTTGTTTCCCAAGTTCTTAAGACTTCGTAGAGGAACAAAGGAAAAAAGACGTGCTGTAACATAATACCATCGTAGCATGGGCCACCCCAGATCGTACCATTCTCCATTTTCTTCCTGCATTTCTAACAGTTCAGCTCTTCAGGAGGGGGAGAGAATGCGAGCTTTGTAGGCCCTGAGCGTAACGGAGACCCCACTGCCACCAACTCATCTAACATATACTTTACTGAGCACCTACTACACGCGGGGGTATGACGGTAAGCAGGCCGATAAGGTTCCCGTCCTCATGACCCCTCCGAAGGGAAGACACAGATAATAAACCAACAATACCATGCAGAGCCCTCCTTGGGTTTTTAAGGAATGAAAGAGGGTGATAGGATGGTGAATGCCAAGGGACCAGAGCACACCACTCTAGGTGGGATGTGAGGTGGAGCCTTTGGTCTCCGGAAGTGAAATCAGAGCAGATGCAGGACTGGTGAGAAAGAGCTGCTCTGCCCAAGAGCCTAAAGATAAGTGTCTTCTCGGTAGACGACACAGTAAATGCCAGGGTAATGTACGGTGGGCCACAGCTTAGCACACTGAAGACAGAGAAAGAAGGTGGTGTATGGCTGAAGCTCAGGGAATGAGGGAAAGAATGGCCTGGAAGACAGCCAGTTAGAAGGCGAAGAGCGGTCAGCCCATCCAGGGCTTTGTAGGCATGACTGGGCTTTTATTCTAACTACAAACTAAATAAATGGAAGCTCATCTCTTTCCAAACTTCGTCCATCAAAATCCGATGCTAACAAGAGACAGATACCTCCAACAGCCCCTGACAGGAATTTGTAAATTTATTCTCCAAATGAGACTGCCTTCCATTGAATGTTATCAACACACCTGATAGTTTCAAGGATTTATTCTAACAAAGGGTGTACCCATTTTTCACCACAGGTAATAGCAATTTCATAGAGGATGGGGGCTTATATATTTTCCGAACATCTGTATCTTTTTCTCACCTCCTTGACTTCTTTCTGGCATTTGAGGCTTGAGGCCCTACACACACACACACACACACACACACACACACACACACACACACACACACTCTACTATGACACTGACCCAAATTCCGCTTTCTCCACCTCTCCTTAGTTTTCCAGGCACAGCTCAGCCCCTACACCTCTCCTCACAAAGGCTTCTCATGGCCTTCAGCTGACTCATCGGTCTCTCCCCTATCCCTGAACTCAAGGATACAGACAGACACACACACACACACACACACACACACACACATTCTGTCCTATACAGTCCAACCCCTACTTAATAAATTCTGCTGAACTGCTCTTGACTGTTGAATCTTGTGTATGAATTTTGTCTTACTGATTGTAAGCCCCTGTAAGACTATGCATTAAACCAAGTCTAACCTAAGACCAGTAAATATTGGGCTGTCTGATCACATGCATGAGGGCATATCCTCAACCTCGTTTCCAAGGTCACAACTGCTATCATGCTCACTGCTCCGACCTCGTCAGAGATATCTAGCCAGCTAATGCTTGGGTAATGGAGATGTTCATGAAAGAAATAGTGCAGATTTCCGAAAGGCCTACGTTTCCCAGAAGTCTCCTTCTGGCCAAGAGTGTGGGCCTCTCCTCACCAAACACTTTAATGTAACACAAAGCAAACTTGATCGGTTTCCATGTCATTTGCCCTTTCTCAGAACCTGTTCTGGCCACCTGTGGTATCGTTTGTGACATGAAGTAACGTTAATGTGGCCAAGAGGTGGGCTGGAGGAAGGAAATGCGCAGGAAATGGGTAACCCGCAAATGGGATAACCATCCTGAACTGGAGGGATGCTTCCTGAAATTGTAATTATGAAAATTGAAGAAAACCAGCTGTCTATGGAAAACATGTGTGTTAAAAGTGAAGCAATTACGTTTCTTTCTTCCACCTCTGCTTCTGTTGAATCTGACTTTAACAGATTAAATATTTTTGTACCATCTTTTTTTCTTTTCATCTGCCAACATGGGAGGGGAAGGAGGGGAAATATCCAATTGATACTTTCATTTGGATAATTTAATATAGCAAGTAGCCAACATGTCAAAAGAAAATGAAATCAGGGCCTGAGGTGTTTTCTGCAAATGAGTAATAAGGCCAGAGGACCCTTAAATCAGAATCCTAAATTCTGAATGTGATCTTTAGATTTTTTTTAACACACATTTCAAGGGGTCTAGTCTTCCAAACATGTTTCTGATGTGTTTGTTTCATACACCCAACATATCCAGAGAGCAAAGACTATAGAATATACTGATGCCAGTCAACAATGACCAAAGAGGAGAATGAATTAATCACTTCCTTAACTGCCTCCTTGAAATGGTCTTTAGACTGGGTTCTATTTACTTGACCAGGAATCTATGTTACAGCATCACCCAAAGGCAAAAAGAACAATGCTTAGCCCCGATTTCCTCAGACATAGTCAATCAATGTGGAGAAGATCTCGGCCAGAGCTGGAACTCAAGATTAGTTTCCGGAAATGTGTTACCACATATGTAGTCCATAGACTGGTATTCACAAAAGAGGCCAGTCAGACCCTTCCAGCATATCTGAAGATGATGCAAACCACATATGTGCACAGTATGCGCAACATAAATACTTACAGTAAATGTATGTACCTTCGTTTCTGAATAATGTACTGTATTTTCAATGATGGTCTATGCACAGGGGACTAAATATTTAGAAATGACACAAAATGGAAAATATCTGCAGAAAACAATGGTTGCCAGCTATGTCTCCCATTCCTTATCCATAAAAGCTTTTATTCTTTTTAGGAATGCATTTTGAGAGTTTGCTCTGTGGACCTTGGAAATGGCCTTTTCCATACCCAGGTTATGAGCTATTCTGCTTAAGGAGTAGCACAGAGGACCAGAGGGGAATGGAGGGAAAACTGAATGGGAAGAAATCAGAGAGGGAGACAAACCATGAGAGACTCTGGACTCCAGGAAACAAACTGAGGGTTACAGAAGGGGGGGGGGGGTACGGGGATGGGGTAACTGGGTGATGGGTATTAAGGAGGGCACGTGTTGTGTAGAGCACTGGGTGTTATACGCAACTAATAAATCATTGAACTCTACATCAAAAACTAATGATGTACTATATGTTGGCTAACTGAACATAATAAAAATAAAATAAAATTACAAAAAAACCCTTCATAATGTACTATATGTTGGCTAATTGAACATAATAATAAAAATTTAAAAAAATAAATAAATAAACCACTCTGGGTGTGTCTGCTTTTCTTGTGTCTTCATAAACACATCAGTGTTTGCTCAATGAAAGAACAGTTGATACTAAAAATAAACACCTTTGTTATATTCTCATGATCCTTTTCTTGGTGGACAGGTGGGGGGTGACTCTCAATGTCATTCTTTTTAAGCATCTCCAAGTTCTGAAGGTCTTCAATGGACTGCCAATTTATATGCTGTCAACAGCCCACTAACATTGAAAACATCTATTGTTATCATCAATACAGTGACTCCTAAGACTGCATCTCTGAGTATACACTGTTAATAAGAATGCAGAATACCCCAAAATTCTGTTTTATGGACAAATTCAAAAAGATATCTAGTCAACTTAGTAAAGTGTATATATACTTGAAATTCTTTGTAGAATCTGGAGTCCAAAAGATGTAAGAAATTGAAAAAAAAAAAACAAAAACCAACAACAAACCAGAATCGATACTCCCCCTTAAGGGAAATAGAACTGACACCTACAAGATCCTTACCATGGCCAAGCCTTGGACTAATCACTTTATGTGGTCTAGCTTCATTTAAGACTCAGAACAACTGTTTGAAGGAAGTACTTTTATCATCTGCTTTTAACAGATTAAAAAAAAAAAAAAAAAGTCGGGCTTAATCAGCTTCAGTAACCTTCCAGAGTTCACACAGCTAGTCAATATTAAAATTAGGATTCTAAAGGAAGCAGTCTGACACCAGACCACAGGGTTATGGAAACTCTTCTGTTAAAACAGAAGGGGCTTAGAGGAAGCCATAACATGTGCAAAGTCAGGAGTAGGTAAGGAGTAGATGTTGGACAATATAGCCCCAATAAAGAAATTCAAATCACAAATCTCACTTGCCTTAGCACTGTGATCAGTGCATTCAAGGGATAAGGTAGAAGAGAGTTGAGTACGACTTTAGCGACCT